TATAAAAATAGCAGGTTTGGGACGCCTGATCGGTTAAGCGTCTGACTTTTGATTTTGGCTCAGATCATGATCTCAGGGTCCTGGGGTGGAGCCCCGTGTCACACTTCATGCTCAGAGGGAAGGCTGCTAGTCCCTCTCTCTCACTCTCTCTCTCTCTGCCTCTCACCTCACTCTCTCTCAAATAAATAAATGAAAAATCTTTTTTAAAAAAATATCAGGCTCGGGCACCTGGGTGGCTCAGTCAGTTAAGCGACTGCCTTCGGCTCAGGTCATGATCCCCGAGTCCCGGGATGGAGTCCCGCATCGGGCTCCCGGCTCGGCGGGGAGCCTGCTTCTCCCTCTGACCCTCTCCCCTCTCATGCTGTTTCTCTCTCTCTCTCAAATAAATAAATAAATAAAATCTTTAAAAAAAAATCAGGCTTTGCTCTAAAGCTTAGTGGGTGCCACATGAAACCACTTCTCTGACAGGGGGAGGGGAGGAAACAATGAAGGGCTTATTTTTGCCTAGGTAATTAACCAGGTTCTCAACTGTGACTCAGTGTCAGCTCTGGGCCAACAAGGCAAAGGAGATCCTAATTAGTAGCCCCCACAGCCCCTGTCGATGGCTTGTGGAAAATGGTACACCTCAGAGGGAGGATACAGCCTTTGGTATAAAACCTACCAAAACCAGGGACGTCATCCTTGAACCCAACAAGATGATGTGAATTATGACCTATCTTGGTTTGTAGAACATCTTAGCTTGATCCAGCTGAAAAGGAAACATCTCAATCTCTCATTATATAAGAAGCTGATATGAGCTGGAAGGGCAAGAAGGCTAGAACATAAAAGAACAAGGGAAATAGACTTCACAAAGTAGCAACCGGTTCAATATTTGGAGACAGTGATCTCTTAACTGTTTAGGGAAACTTCCCCCTGCCTGGGTGTGGGACCAGGTGTCCTTATTTAACCAGCCCTTTATTGTTGCTGAGATAGATGAGCCCCAGAGTCATCCTCTTGTTTTCTGTTGGGTAATGGCCATTTGTGCCCATCTGTTCCCAATGAATAGCCAGGGGCAAGGGGTAGACTATATCAGGGGGGCCCTTGGAGAGTCACGCGAAGCCAGCTAGGGTGGTGGTGGGCCGGGATGGTGGGGAGAAGTGTTTTGGTCTTTGGGACATTGGACGTCTTCCTTCCCTTGTGAACACCTGGACATGCTATACAGCTGCTAGGAAGAACACTGTGCTCTAAGTCTTGGAAGAGTCCATTCCCAAAATTTATAAAATTTATAGGAGTTACAACTAGCCTAAACTATTTCTTCAGCTTTTGTATTTTGCCCGATGTCATCAGAATTTGTATATGCTTTTGGGTTTAGACTATTTCTGCTACGACTATAGGAAGCCCATCTTTCAATGCCCCAAATAAGAAAGGAAACATCGTATGGAATTACTGGATGTCCTTTCTGTCAACCAGCCGCGGATTAAGAGACAGAAGAAGCAGGTTTAGGAGAGAAGGATGACAAGCTCATGTTTATGGAACATGACAGCAAGAGCCTCTCTTGTTGTCTACCGCTTGGGCATGGGAAACCGTGTCCAAGAGCCGAGAAGGAGCGTGAGCAAAGTCATGAGAAGAGAGTGAAGAGACTGTTGAACACCCCTTCTGATAGTATCTGCCTCTGACAGTTCCGAACGGATCACTCACCACCTATACAAACATTCTCTTTCTTCTCTCAGAGCCTGCCAAGGAGAAGGGGTTCTCTTCCGCTCTGGCCAAGAATTGCCCCGACACAGGAAGTGGCCCCAGGAAACGGACACCAGAAACTGGTGCGTGGCTGCCTCTGACGAGGGGGATGGGGGCCGGAGAGGTGGAGAAGGCCCTTCAGCACAAATCCTTCTAAGTGCTATTTTGTTTTGATTGGAGGGGAAAGTATACATATAGACTGATATGGGAAAGTAGATAGACACGTAGATATATAGATGTGGTCCTCGCCTCTGCCCTGGACCCAGCGCTCCCCGCCACATTCCCAGCTCAGTCCTGGGCTTCCCTCACCCCCCACCCCCCGTGGGTGGGACCTCAGAGACCAGCTCCTCAGGAGGTGGGCACGCTGAGGCTGAGCCAGATGGTGCACAGCCAGGACCCTTGGGGTCCTCCAGCTCCGGGTCTTTCCCTGGGGGGGGCGGGGGGGGTGGAGGTGCTCATCCCAACCCATCCAGCCTCCCAACCGCCAGCCTGGGGCTCTCAGCCAAATTCCACCAAAAAGCATTTGGCTTCTGGGGTCCAGGATCACTTGAGGGGATCTGGGGTCACTCCTTGAGGCGAGGAGCAGGGGAGAAAGTCCTCCAGGAGAGCCTGGAGGAGGAGAGTGGTGTCGAGGCGTCCCCGAGATGGGCCCTGTGACAGTGGTGAGCCCTGCCAGCCCGACGGTGCCAGGCTCCCTGCCAGACACCTCACCTGTGTTAGCTCCTTGACTCCCCATCAGTATTTAGTACGAGGTAGGTACTATTACCCCCCTTGTTAACTTGAAAGAAACAAGTTAACGCTCAGAGTCTTTAGGCTCTGGCTCAGGGTTCAAACCATGACACACCGCCTGTGAAATCCATGTTTTAGATCAGGGCACACAAAAATGTCAAGGGTTTAAGGTGAAACATAGGGAATGTTTGGAAGCAAGCTTGGCTACTGCTGGATGTGCTGTACCCCCTGGCTTTCCTCGGGCACCAGGAGAAACCAAGAGAGGAGGGGAGAGGTGAGGAGGCCGAGGGGAGGGGAGGGAAGGGAAGGGGAGGGAAGGGAAGGGGAGGGGAGGGGGAAGAGGGGGAAGAGGCTAGAAGCAGGCCGAAGCAGAGAAGCAGGTGCAGCCTCACTGGGGCTTGACAAGGCCCTCTGCCAGGACGGCTCCTAGCCCATGGGGGCGGGCGCCCTTTAGGATAAACCAGGTGACACCGTGGACATTGAGTTTACAATCAAGGCCGCACAGAGTGAGTGGGGCAGGGTGTGGATCTCTGCCCCAGATTGCAAAAAAAGCTGGTGTAGTCGGAGCCTCCTTTGTAAAAGGAAAAACATAAAGGGAAAGTCTGGAGAACAATTCCACAGACCCAGCGGGTCGTCTCCAGGGGGCTCAGCTTAGCGGGGTTTTTAGCCCGCTGTGTTCTGTATATCTATCTGTGTACGGTGTTTCACGAAGCACGTGTAATGCTTTGGTAATCAGAGTGACGGACAAAAAAATGTTTTTAAAGACAAGGGGCACCGCTGCCCTCCATCCATCATCCTCTCCGAACGTCTAGAACAACCAGTATCTGCAGGCAATCCCACCGCCTGTGTTACCAGGAAATGTTTATACATCACATGGGGTTTTGGCCTGAGTGCGTTATTACTTATTAAAGAGATGTCATCCACCCTGTCAGAACAGTTTAATGTTTAGTTGGAGGACTGAAACATTAAAGTTTGTCCCTTGACTTCGCACACTGTTGCTTAGGCGTCGGCTAGAAAGAGAAGATACGATTACATGGTATGTTAACTAACTGGAATTTAAATAAAAATTTGAAAAAAAAAGAAATAAATTACTTATACGTGGAAGGAGGGAGGGGCCAACAGCGAGATTGTGTTCCGTTGTCCTGATGTCACGGAGGCTTGGACATGGACCGTCGCTGTGTGTGACAGCTACCTGCTTTCCTTCCCTTCAAGCTCAGGGAAAGGAGGAGGTTGTCATAATCACTGATTCCGTGAGGAAGGGACACTGGTGAGATGCAAGATGAAAACTGACGTGCATGATCCTCCAGCCTGGCTAACCTCCAGGGCCGGTGGAGAAGGAGGCACGGGGGCGGGGGCGAACTTAGAGAGGGGGAGAATAGTGAAGACAGGCTTCCTGGAAGAGGTGGGCCCATGTGGGAGAGGGGAGAGTAGGGAGGAGGGTACCTCAGAGGAGGAAGGCAGATGAAGTTCAAAGGCAGGAGCCCAATGGGCCAGGCCCAGAGTGGGGCCCACTGACTCTGTTTTCCCTTTTCCCTGAGAGAGGTTGGGGTACCTGCCCCAGCCGCGGCCCTGGGCCCTGGAGAGGGCGCTGGACTGAGCTGGGTGGGAGGCCCAACCTCCTCCCGCTCTGGACTCTGCCCGGGAATTTGCACTGAAAAGAGAAGACGGGCCAAAGTGCAAGCAGGTTGAAGTCATTTTTGTCCCCGTGGAAATACACGCTTCTGTCCTTCCCCGAGAGTGACTTGTTCACCACAATATGTGAGTAGGACGGGGGTCCTGCCTCTCCCCGGACAGTTGTGCTTCTGTGTGTGTGCACAGGTAGCTAGGCGTTCCTGGGCTCTGCCTGTGTGTGTACTTGCACCCGTCTCCTTGCTCGCATGTGCACCCATGTGTACGTGCCTCTGAACGCATGAGTTTAACCAGGCCGGTGTTTGGATGGAGTAGGGTGCTCCCCAAGGGGAAGAAACAGGAGTGGGGAGAGATTTGGTCTTAGCTCAGGCTCTTATTCAGATGAGTTAGGCCTATGAACTTCAGCAAAAAAAGGACTGTGTTGGCTTTCAGAATTGAAAGGTCCAGTGGTGGGACTGGTTTCAGGTCTAGCTGGATCCGGGGGCTGGAAGGGTCTTTGGGATATTATTTTTCCAGCTTTCAGAGGCGGGACAGTATAATACGGTGAAGGTATCACTTAGTGGCAATGGCTTTAACCTGCTATGGGAGTGATGCGAGCTAGAGGCTCTTCTACATGTTTCCTTCCTTGCCCTCCCTGTGAGGTGGACAGAATTTGCCCCACTTCTGCTGCCCCCGCCCCCAGATTTGCAAGGACTTGGCGTCCCACGGGCTCAGAAGTGAGTGCAGGAAGGGGTGCCTTCCTCTGTGGCCCCCAGGCCCAAGGAGGGTTGAGCTCCGGGATGATCAAAGCAGCACCAGGCATCTGCTCCCCGTTTCCACCCTCTCCCATCCTCCTCCCTTCTCTGGGCCCCCCACCTGGGTCCTGCCTCGCCTTCTGCTTTCAGCTTTGGGCCCCGACTTTGTCTTTCAGCTGGAAGGTCGGGCACATGGAGGCCAAGACACCAAAACGAAGAGAGTCCATCTTGCTCACATCTGTGGCCAGTGGTCTGGAGAACATGGGGGCTGAGAGCTTGGAAAGCCTGGTCTGTCTCCTTCCCCATTTTGGCCCCTTGGGGGGAGGGCCCTTTGTTCACCATCTTCCTTCACCCCTCCCACCTCTTTGCTTGAAAAATTAGGAACTCCCTGCCCTGCAACCGCAACGTGCGGCCCCTTTATTTCGCTCATTAACCATGTGTTGTGGACCTGCGATGTGCCCGGGGCACCTGCCCGAGCCTGAAAGGCCGGAGGGGACGTTTGAGCTGTGATCTACAAAACAAGGAGAGACCACGTGATTGGAGGGGGGGTGGGGGTGGATCTCTGGGGAGGCCTCAGCCTTTAAGGAGCTGGCCCTCTTGTCCTTCCTCCGGAATGGCCAAGTGGAGGCCCACCACCCAGAGCTTTGGAGCCGAACATGACCCCCTTTTCCCTCTCAACCTCCCCTGCCAAAGCCCCCTGCCCCTTCAGCACACTGAGCAACCCCAGGGTGTGCCTTTCACACCGTAACCTCTACCCCGCCGGAACACAACTCCATAGACGAACGGAGGGCAAACGGTGTCCTGGAGCCATGCCACGAGGTGGCCCCGCCTGTGGCTTCCCCAGCCAGCCACCGCAGAGGCTCCAGGGTCCCCTCTGCATGCAGCCCATGAGCTCCCTGAGGGTGGGATGTGTCTGGCACCGAGTCCAGCACACAGTAGGCACTCAATGCACACTTTGCAGAATTTAATTAAGTTGTCCTCTAATGATTTCCTGTGCCAAAGCCCAGCCCCCACCCCAACCCCCTCCTGACGTGCCCATGGGCACACAGGGAGCAGCCAGGGTCCCTCTCCGCTCTCACTTGGGGCAGGAGGTACACTCTGGCCACTGTCTGGTACCTTTAGGAGGAAGGCCGGACCCCTGGCAACGTCTCAAGCCCTGCAGAGGGTGGGGACAGCTGGACTGAGGCCAGCCCGGAGCCCTTCTCAGGATGGTACGTGGCCTCCAGGAGGGACGTGGGTTGGCCTGGGGGGCAGGGACAGGAACCTGGTCTCCTGACAATAGGGAGGGGGCTCCCAGAACCTTTGTCACCGAAAGGAGCAAGTGTGCTTTAGCCAACGAATGCGCACTGCGGCCTGCTGCCTCAGGGCTGAGCCCCGCCGGAGGCTCCCACCCGGCCTTGAAGCGGCCACAACCAAATCCCCACAGGAACTGCGCTCCACACTGTGGGGCTCTTCTGACTGAAGCCGGATGGGGGCCCTGAACCTCCCCGCCTGCCTTCTACCCCACTGGGTCTCTGGGGCACCTCGGGGAACCTCGGGGCTTAGCTGGAAAAACCCTGGCCTGGGCCAGTCCCCTCGTTTCCCGTGGGGAGGCTGAAGCCCCGAGAGGAAGAGAGACCGGCCCTGGTCACACGGGCAGCAAGTGTGAGCCTAGAACTCGGTCTCTTGATGCCCAGGCTCGCTGCGGTCCCCACTGGCCAGATCCTGAGCTGGGGAGAGCACGAGGCGGAGGGGTGTGGAGGGCAGGGAGTCCATCTGTGTGCCTCGGCTGGGAGGTTGGGGAAGAAGGCCTCCCTTAGGAAGTGGGAGGTGGGGACAGGGAGGGGCCGGGTGTCCCTAACACAGCCCCCTCCCAGGGGCCGCCTTTTCTCCAGGGATAGACGGACGGTCAGGTGACCAGGCAAGACTGGCCTGTTTGCACTGGGCCAGGAAGGCGGTGGGGGTGGGGGGCTGGGGGGAACTGCGGGCGTGGGGCAGGCTGTTCACATGCTGGGAGGGGCTGCTGACTCAGGTGGTGAGTCTCCCGTCCCCCGGAGGGAGTCTCCCCTCCCCGCCGAGCTGGGAGCCTCTCCACCTGGCTCTGCAGACAGGTGGAAATGGGACCGGGGAGGGGGCGGGGGGGGGGGGGGGGGGGGGAGGCGAGGCTGCCGTCCTGGTTTGCGCCCTTCTGCGGGTGGGCGGTTCTTCCTCAGCATCTGGGTTAACTCCTTCCCGAGCCCGCAGGCAGAATTCTCAGGAGGCCCGCCACCGCTCCAGGCTGAGGCTCGGCTGCCGTGGAAGGCGTGGGGGGCCTGAGGCTTTCCTCAGTTTGCTCTGGGGTGGGGTTGCCCCGGTCCTGCGATGTCAAGGCCAGCGCCCGGCTTGGCCCATGTCTCCACTGCACTGGGGGTGTGCCTGAGTGGCCTCTACCTGAGGTGTTGACACTAGGAGTCAGGGGCCACTCGCGGACCCTGCCGGTCCTCTCCCCAGGCGGAGCCCGCGGCTGGCCCTGAGGGCCCGACGCTTCTGCAGGGAGCACACACAGCTGTTTCGATGGATCTGCACGGGCCTGCTCTGTACTGGTGAGACGGGGGCCCAGCCCCACCTGGCAGACAGCCATTCCCAGCCCCCCCCACCCCGCCAACCATGTCTCAGGGCCTCCACTAATCCAATAATTCAACAACCGACTCAGGGCCAGCCCCGTGCCAGAAGCTGGGACATCAGAAGGAAGCCAGAGCAGGTCTGATTCCCGGGGTCATCTCTGATCAGTAAAGGAGAGGGGGGCTCGTATTTCCACGTGATGCAGCCAGCCATCTAGGAACACCAGGGAGAGATGGGAGTGATCAGGGAGGACTTCCAGGAGGAGGTGACATTCAGGCCCCACCGGTCGAGCAGGAGCCAGCCAGGGAAGCAGCAGGAAAATAAGGGGTGAGAAGGCACTCCATGCAGGACCCCAGGAGCGAAGGTGACACCCGGCACGGTGCCGGCTGGAATGTTACTCCAGAGCCAGAGAGAGCCATTGAGGGATTTAACAGGCAAGCGTTGGGGCTGGATCCACACTGTGGGAGCCTGGGAGAGGCAGGCAGGGGTGAGGGGGCATGGTGAGGGCGGCAGTACATGGGTGAGAAGACGAAGTATCGGGACGGAGAGACCCTCGGGAAACTACTCCAGGGACGCGCGGAGGATGAATCGCAAGGGGCGTCAGTGACCGCGGTCTGGGGACCAGCCGCGCAGGGGGCATTGGCAGAGGAAGCAGCAGAGCGAGCCTGAGGGGCTGTGGGGGTGGGGGGGTCAGGAGGAGTGAACAGCTCCTGTGCAGTAAGGGGAGCAGCGGAACAGGGAGGGAGGAGCGGCCAGGGGATTTAGCGCCAAGCAGGTCACTAGGGAGCAGCGGGTGGAGGGGCTGGATTGAGTGAATGGGAGGTGAGGCAGTGTAGACAGCAAGTGTAGACAGCTCTTTGGAGGGATTTTTTATGAGGACAGGTGGGAATATTAAGGAGGGTGTGACAGTGTCAGGGAAGGGGTGTGTTGGTGACAGGAGACACTTGGACTGTGTTTGTGAGCTGAGGTGGGGGGTGGAGGTATAGAGAGAACGGGGAAGGACGAGCAGACAGATGGCAGGTGGAGGGCAGCCCCCTAGGCCCAGGGAAAGAGGGCAAGGGGCCCAGTGGAGGGGTGGGTCACCTGGTCCTGCAGGTAGGAGATGGAGAGGGTGTGGGTGTGGATGCAGAGACCGCCCCCGCAGGGGGCCAGGCAGGGAGAGGACGCGGAGCACCATGATGGCAATGGCCCTGGTCTCCATGATGAAAGCGAAAGCAGGGCCATCTGCTGAGATGAGCTGGTTCGTGGCCCTTCAAAGCTTCCTTCTAGAGATGTCTGAGACAGTGAAGTCTTCCTTTGGCAGGATCTGAGCCCGGGCCTTCTCTGTCCCCCTTGCCTCCACCCTCACTCAGACTCAGACTGGTTCCTCCTGAAGAAATGATTGACGTAGGAGCACCTGGGGGGCTCAGTCAATCATCCAACTCTTGATTTCAGCTCAGGTCATGATCTCAGGGTCGTGAGATGGGAGCCCCGTGTGGGGTTCTGTGCTCACCAGGGAGTCTGCTTGAGATTCTCTCCCTCTGCCCCTTCCCCCCCCAATACATAAATCTTAATTTTCATGATCTTCAATCATTTTTTATCTATCTCCTCCTATCTTGCCTTTGTCCTCACTGTCAGTAAACGATCCTTTACAGTGGCCAATCTCGATTTTCTCCATGTTTGTGATCTTGCTTTCCTCCAGCTCTTTGATAACTTCACTGTATTGTGTCTTTTATGGTGAGGCCCTTTGCGTACTTTCTGGGAGTAGGTGCGGCAGAACGATGAAGCTCGTGTTCTCAGCACTGTACGCCTGAGCCATAGCCATGTTGTCCTCCCCTTAGGTGGGCTCCATGGGTGCAAAGATAGCCCTGGCCGCTGACCAACAGAGGGCCTTGGGGTCCCCAGTCTCAGAAGAAGACCCAGATTTCTGGCCAAGTAGCCGAAAGTCTTTGATTGGGTCATGTACCCCTCCCTGGGCTCCCACTGGACCACATGGGCTCAGAGTGGGAGCAGACGAGTCCTGTCACCAGAGGGGTGAGCAGACCCTAGAAGAACACAAATAATTCCAAAGACACGTCTCTCCATGCCCTGTCTGGGGGACTTGTCCACCATGCCTCCTCTCCTGCACAGTGTGCCAGTCCCCACCCCCACCCCCCCCCGCCGACCCGAGTCACGGGGCCCCGAAACAGACAGACCTGGCTAGGAATTTTAGCTCAATTCCCTCCCACTGTGAGTCACCCTGCTTCGCCGACCTCAGGTGCCTCGTCTCTAAATGGGGATCAGCACAGACCCGGCTGTGGGTGGTTACAAGCAGGAACCCCGCAAGGGCTGGGAGGCGCTGAGTGCAGCACCCCTCCCTCGGCCTCCCACAGCCCTGGGCCTGCATTCCCGGCCCCGCCCTGCAGAGCCACACCTGCGTGCCCCTCCGTGACACCTGTGCAGGTCGGAGGCCCAGCCCGCAAACCTCGGTGTGAGAGGAAAGGAGCTTGCTTTCTCAGAACTCGACTCCTGTTCTGTTTCAATTTCGTCATCCCAGCTGCGTGGTCGGAACTTAATGTCTGTCAATGTGGAATATTCCTTCACCCCTTTCCCCAGGAGTCCCCCCCGCCCCATATCCGCTATCAGTCCTCAGCTGGGTCCTGACCCGCCCACTTCTGCAGCTGGTCCTAGGTCCTCTGCCCTTGCAGGTAGCCATGGAGACCCCCCCCCGCCGGTCTCCGTTGGGGGTCCACTCTGGTCCTTCCCATCTCCTCTTCCGAGCTCCTCACAGAGATCACTCCTGCTGCTTCAGGGCCCGCTCTGCTGTGCAGAACCTCAGAAGCTTTCTACAGCTCTGCCTGCCCACACAGCACAGGCACTCCTCTCTCTGAAATCTCCCTCCCTGCCTCCCTGGGGCAGGGCTCCTCTGTTCCCAGGAGCCACCAGGCCCTCCAGCTAGTCTGTCCTCCAGCTAGTCTGTCCTCCAACCACTGTCCTCAACTAGTCTGTCCTCCAGCTAGTCTGTCCTCCAACCACTGTCCTCAACTAGTCTGTCCTCCAGCTAGTCTGTTCTCCAACCACTGTCCTCAACTAGTCTGTCCTCCAGCTAGTCTGTCCTCTAACCACTGTCTTCCAACTAGTCTGTCCTCCAACCCTGTCCTCAACTAGTCTGTCCTCCAACTAGTCTGTCCTCTAACCACTGTCTTCCAACTAGTCTGTCCTCCAACCAGTCTGTCCTCCAGCTAGTCTGTCCTCTAACCACTGTCTTCCAACTAGTCTGTCCTCCAACCAGTCTGTCCTCCACTGTCCTCAACTAGTCTGTCCTCCAGCTAGTCTGTCCTACAACCACTGTCCTCAACTAGTCTGTCCTCCAGCTAGTCTGTCCTACAACCACTGTCTTCAACTAGTCTGTTCTCTAACTAGTCTGTCCTCCAACCACTGTCCTCAACTAGTCTGTCTTCCAACTAGTCTGTCCTCCAGCTAGTCTGTTCTCCAACCACTGTCCTCAACTAGTCTGTCCTCCAGCTAGTCTGTCCTACAACCACTGTCCTCAACTAGTCTGTCCTCCAGCTAGTCTGTCCTCTAACCACTGTCTTCCAACTAGTCTGTCCTCCAACTAGTCTGTCCTCCAGCTAGTCTGTCCTCTAACCACTGTCCTCAACTAGTCTGTCCTCCAACTAGTCTGTTCTCTAAATAGTCTGTCCTCCAACCACTGTCCTCAACTAGTCTGTCCTCCAGTTAGTCTGTCCTCCAACCACTGTTCTCAACTAGTCTGTCCTCTAACTAGTCCTCTAGTCTGTCCTCCAACCACTGTCTTCCAGCTAGTCTGTCCTCTAACTAGTCTGTCCTCCAACCACTGTCCTCAACTAGTCTGTCCTTCTATTAGCCTTTTCTCTAACCAGTGTCCCCAAGTAGGCTGTCCTCCAGCTAGTGTCCTCTAATTAATGTCCTCCAACTAGTCTGTCCTCCAGCTAGTCTGTCCTCCAACCACTGTCCTCAACTAGTCTGTCCTCCAACTAGTCTGTTCCTCCAACCACTGTCCTCAACTAGTCTGTCCTCCAGCTAGTCTGTTCTCCAACCACTGTCCTCAACTAGTCTGTCCTCCAGCTAGTCTGTCCTCTAACCACTGTCTTCCAACTAGTCTGTCCTCCAACCCTGTCCTCAACTAGTCTGTCCTCCAACTAGTCTGTCCTCTAACCACTGTCTTCCAACTAGTCTGTCCTCCAACCAGTCTGTCCTCCAGCTAGTCTGTCCTCTAACCACTGTCTTCCAACTAGTCTGTCCTCCAACCAGTCTGTCCTCCACTGTCCTCAACTAGTCTGTCCTCCAGCTAGTCTGTCCTACAACCACTGTCCTCAACTAGTCTGTCCTCCAGCTAGTCTGTCCTACAACCACTGTCTTCAACTAGTCTGTTCTCTAACTAGTCTGTCCTCCAACCACTGTCCTCAACTAGTCTGTCTTCCAACTAGTCTGTCCTCCAGCTAGTCTGTTCTCCAACCACTGTCCTCAACTAGTCTGTCCTCCAGCTAGTCTGTCCTACAACCACTGTCCTCAACTAGTCTGTCCTCCAGCTAGTCTGTCCTCTAACCAGTGTCCCCAAGTAGGCTGTCCTCCAGCTAGTGTCCTCTAATTAATGTCCTCCAACTAGTCTGTCCTCCAGCTAGTCTGTCCTCCAACTAGCCTTCCTCCAACTAGTCTGGCAGCGGAGGGGTAGGGTAAGACTTATGCTTATTCACAACGCTGCAGCCCACATTTTTACCGAGTGGAAGAACTGTAAGTCCTTTCCATTCTTCAAGGGCTCTGGCTTCTGAAACTCATAAGGCAGGGAGAGACACTTCCCCCTCTGCTCTCCACTGTCATATTCCTTTCTTGAGGCAGAGCGCAGGTTGGCTTAGCTACTCGAAGAGGAGAGGAGCAAGCGGGGAGAAGGAAATTCTAGGAAGAAAATGGTCCCTATTTTCAGAGTAGGATCCTGGCACACACGAGTGTGTGACCTGTCCTGTCCATCTCCGACCACCATGGAACCTCGTGTGGTCTGGGACAGAGCAGGCCCTCCGCTGATGCTCAGAACCCCTCCTTACATAGTCTCATCCCTCACAGCTGGTCAGCAAGTTCAAGGTGTGCAAAGCCCCTCCACATACCTTCCTCAGTTACTCGGACCAACCCTCCAGCACAGCCCGGGATGATTGTCCCCAGTTCCAGATGAGGCAGCTGAGGCGCAGAGGTCCTCCGTGCCCTGGATGGGACAAGTGGAGCTGGGGGGCAGGGGGCTGGCCCGTGTCATTGTCACTGACTCCTCTCTGTTTCATCCCCCCGCACTCCCAGCGTTCGCTGCCCTCCTGCTGACTGCCAGCCTCCTGGATTTCCAGAGGGCCCTGGCTCTCTTTGTCCTCACCTGTGTGTTCCTCACCTTCCTGGCCCACAGCCTGCTCAAGAGGCTGCTGGAACCCACACTGCTGAGGTGTGTCCAGCCTCTGGGGCATTACCGCCTGCGCCTGTGGTTTGAGAGGTGAGTGAGCTCACAGCCCCAGGCAGGATGGGCGGGCCGTTGGCTGAGGCCTCTGAGTCTGCTCCGGGGTCACCACCCAGCCTGGGGAGGAAGGCCTCAGTCCTTGCCCCACGGGGGGGGGGGCTCCCGGGCAATGGGGCACCCTCCCTTCTGTTTGCCCCCTGGGGGAGCCCCGGGTCACCTGAGAACAGAACTCAACAGTTTGCTAAGCTCAGAGGTTCCAGCCCACCCAAACCGGGAGGGCCCATGTCAGAGCCTCCTATGGGATCACCGGGGGGCGTGAGAGACAGAGAGCTGCAGGGGACCACCCCTGGAGTCAGAGTCCGCAGGCTGGATTGGGGTCCCGGTGTCCATGAATTTAGTGAACCCCCAGGGGATTCTCATGCCGCCAGCCATGTTCCTGGACAACAGTTTGGGATCCCCTGGCTTTCAAACTGGGTTCCTTAGAGATCTGGAAACCTTGGAGGTGCCATAGGGTGGGAGAGATTGGAGGGGGGACCATCAGACCCCCCTCCCCAAATCCCCATTACAACCAGGAAGCTCTATTTTATCTGTTTTATAAACTGAAGTTTGCAAAAAATAAAAATAAAAATATAAATAATTAGCTGGAAAAAAAGGTTTCTGTGGCTTAAAAAAAAAATCTGAAGACCCCCAGTCTATTTCAGGACTCCAGTTTTTTGATAAAGAAACTGGTGCTCAAGGATATCCAGTGACTAACCTAGGGAGGTACCACAGCAAAATGATTTGAGCAGGACTATGGATGAGCACATTTTTTCATCTTCTTTATAAATACATGTATAATAAATAGTAATTATTATTCATAATTATAATTTAGAATTTTAAATAAATAAAATTTTTAAAAATTAATAAATTATATAAACTTTGAATGAAATTTAAAAATTTTATAATTTGTAATAATTAAAATAAATTTATAAATAGATTTTTTTACAATTGGACTTTTTTTAGACTAGTACAGTATTAACTCTAAGTAGATTATGTTATGCTAAGGATGCACATTATAATCCCTGGAGCAGCTAAAAAAACTAAAAAAACACAAAAGGGTGTCACTTAAATAGTAATAAAAGAATTAAATAGTTTTGTGAAAGGATTTGTTTTTACAATCATCTATTTGTGACTAATCGTTGATACTGGCTTTCCATTGGATGTATTGATGTAAGGTTTCCTTTAAAAAATACATGCAGATTAATTAGACTTTATGAAAAGTAAAAACTTTTTGATTCAAAGGATACCATCAAAAAAGTAAAAAGACAACCCACAGAATGGGAGAAAATATTTGCAAATTATGTATCTGATAAAGGACTTGTATCTAGAATTACAGCTCAACAATAAAAAAACAACCAAATTGAAGAATGGGAAAAGGATTTGAATAGACATTTCTCCAAAGATATACAAATAGCCAGTACATGAAAATATGCTTAACATCATTAGCCATCATAAAAATGCAAATCAAAACCACATGAGATACCACTTCACATTTACTGGGATGATAACAAAAAAGACAGATGATAACAAGGGTTGGCCCAGTTATGGAAGCCTCGAACTCCTCACCCACTACTGGTAGAAATGTGAAATGGTGCAGCTGCTTTAGAAAACATTAGTTTCAGGGGCAAGTGGTGACTCGGTCGGTTAAGCGTCTGCCTTCGGCTCAGGTCATGATTCCAGTGTCCTGGGATTGAGCCCCGCATCGGGCTCCCTGCTCGGCGAGGATATGTAGCAATTCCATCCCTAGGTATATACCTAAGAGAAATGAAAACATATGTCTATTCAAAAACTTGTACACAAATGTTTATAGCAACATTATAACAGCTGAAAGGTGGAAACAACCCAAGCATCCCTCAGCTGATAAGTGGATAAGTCCAATATGTATATCCAGATAATGGAATATTATTTGGCCACAGAAGGGAAAGCTACATGCTGTAATAATGACAAAGCTTGAAAACATTATGCTAAGTGACAGAAACTGGTCACAAAGAACCATTGATATGAAGCGTCCAAATTGGCAAATCTATACAGACAGAGAGTAGATTAGTGATTGACTAAGGTTGGGGGGAATGGATGGAGAGATTGGGCGTGATGGCTAGAGGTTCTCGGTTATTCTTTGGGCTGATGAAAATATTCTAAAATTGATTATAGTGATGGTCACACAACTCTATACTGAGGACCCTTATACCATATACTTTATTTTTTTAGAAAAGATTTTATTTATTTATTTGAAAGAGAGAGAGAGAGGGAGACAGCATGAGCAGGGTGAGCAGCAGGCAGAGGGAGAAGAAGAAGCAGGCTCTCAGCTGAGCAGGGAGCCTGATGTGGGACTCAATCCCAGGACCCTGGGATCATGACCTGAGCCGAAGGCAGACGCTTAGCCAACTGAACCACCCAGGCACCCCATACACTGTATACTTTAAATGGGCAAATTGTATGGTATGTGAATTTTGTCTCGATTTAAAAAACACATGTATTTGATATTGGCTTCCAATCAAGATTGAATAACAGAGACCACTTGAAACAACTAAAGAACTGGAACAAATATATGAAACAATAGCTCTTAAAATATTGGACATCAGGCAGCAGAAGACAGTGATCCTGGAGAAACAGGAAACAAAGGAGATGAGCCCTATGATTGCTCCCCCACTTAATGCATTGAGAGAGTTTCCAGGCCACAGTGCAGGGAAAGGGAACCAAGGTGGGCCAGCAGATTTCCTGGGTTGAGGATACAGAGCTGGGAAGCCAGGGAAGCCAAGGTGGTGAGAGTTCACAATGCAGAGTATGAGAGAAGATAGTGGCACAGAGAGAAAACTCCAGAAATCCACAGAGGGTCCTTTTTGAGTATGCAGCTGAGTTCTGATCAGTGAATGCATATGAGAAAACCATCCAAAGCCTAGGAAAGACCCACCAGAAAGGATTAGAGGGAACAGTGCCTGGAAGTCACACAGGGACAGAAATAGTGTGTTTTCTCAACGGTCAGAGTGGAAACTTCATAATTCCACAGGGAATTGTTTAGAGTACTAAAGATCTTGGGTCAATAGTAGGGAAAAATTAACCATAGAATAAACCCTGCTCAGGCTCTGCCTAACAAATCTTAAAAACAAAACTTGAAAGAGTCCAGCAAAACATCAGTTAACCATGGCACAACTTTAAGTGGGTACATGTACCTGAGGTCCCAGAGGAGAAAGAGGGAAGAAAAAATTACTTGAAGAAATTGTGTCCAAAATATTCCAATTTGATGAAGATTATAAACCCAAAGAAACTCCATGAACCCCCAGCACAAGAAAGAAGAAGAAAACCACACCAAGGCATATCATAATCAAATTGCTTAAAATTGGTAACAAAACAGAAAATTCTAAAAACAGCTAGAGAAGAAAACATGTGCAGAGGAACAAAGATACGGATGACAACCGATTTCTTCTCAAAAACAATACACATGAAAAAGCAATGGAATAGTAAAAACAAAACAAAAATGTGTCAATCTAGAGCTCTTTACCAGTGAAAAGAACATCCTTCCAAAAAAAGGAGAAATAGGACTCTTTTAGATATACAAAAGCTGAAAGAAGTTTTCAGACATCAAAAGCAAACCTGCACTATAAGAAATGTTGAAGGAAATTTTTCAAACAGAAGGAAACTGAGATCAGAGGGAAATCTAGTGAAGAGCATTGAAATGGCGACTACATGGGTGACTATAACAACTATTTTTATTATTATTTAAATCTCTTTCAAAGGTAATCAACTTATAAAGCAAGAATAGTAGTGTATTGTGGAATTTATATTATGTAGAAGTCAAGAGCAAGGGTTGGGAGGGAAGAAATGAAATTATATTGCTGTAAGGTTTTTATATTGAACGTGAAGTAGTATATCACTTAAAGGTAGATTGTGATAAGTTAAAGATGTATATTATAAATGCTAAAGCAACCACTAAAATAACATCACAAGGAGTTACAGCTAACAAGTTAAAAAAGCGAGTGAGAGAGAGAAAGGAGAATCATTTTAAAATAAACAATCTGAAAGAAGGCAGAAAAATAGAAAAAGGGAAATGAAGAATGGATGGGACAAAGAGAAAATAAATAGCAAGATGGTAGATGTAACCCTTCCTCCAAACCAATAATCACATTAAATGTACAGACCAGTGTCCCTCATGAATAAAGATGTAAAAATCGTTAACAAAATTTTAGAAAACCAAGTGCAACAGTATATAAAAGGGATTTAATATGTGAATGAATGGGGTTTATCCCAGGAATCCAAAGTTGGTTTAACATTAAAAAATTAATGGGATAGGTCATATTAATAGACTAAAAAGAAAAAAAAACCCGTATGTTTGTCAATAGACTCAGAGAAAGCATTCGACATAATTCAGCATCCATTCCTCATAAGAATTCTGAGCAAAGTAGGGATAACAAAGTAACAAAAATCTACAGCTAACATCATACTTGACTGTGAAAAACTGAATGCTTTTCCACTGAGATCAAGATATAAGAATGTCCCTTCTCATCACTTTTATTCAACATTGTACTGGATGTTGTAGCTTGTGTGATAAGGTAAGAAAAAGAAATGAAAGACATGTGGATTGAAAAAGAAGTAATGCTGTCTTTATTCACAGACAACATGATTGTGTATATAGAAAATCCTATGGAATCTACAAAAAAGAGCTAATAGAACTGATTAGTGAGTTTAACAAGTTGCAGGATACAAGATCAACATGCAAAAAAGTATATATTTAAATATACTAACAATAAACAGCAATAGGTTAAAATTGTAAATGCCATTTAGAATAGCCTGGAACATAAAATACTTAAGGTAAAATCTGATAAAATATGTGCAGATTTGCACACTAAAACTTACAAAACACTGCTGAGAGAAATTAACGAAAACTTAAATAGTGGGACCAGCTTCATGGATCAAAAGACTCAGTATTGTCAACATATCAATTCTCCTCAAATTAATCTATAGATTTTTGTAATATCTCAATCAAAATTATAGCAGACTTTTGGGGTAGAAACTGACAAGATGATTCTAAAATTCATATAGAAATGCAAAGAAGAACCTAGAATAGCCAAAACACTGAAAAAGATGAACAAGTTTGAATTTATACTATCCGTCTTTAAGACTTACTGTAAAGCTACAGTAATCAAGACAATATGGTATCAGCATTAAACCAGACAAATAGATCAATGGCGCTGAATAGAGTCCAGAAATAGAACTACATATATATAGCGGATTGACTTTTGACAAGGGTACTTAAAGCAATTCAATGTAGAAATAATCATCTCAACAAATTATGCTAAAGCAACAGTATATTCATAGTCAAAAAGAAAAAGAAGGGAAACGAAATAATAATATAATTCATGCCTCACAGGATATGGAAAATTAACTGAAAATAGATTAAAAATGTAAATTGAAAGCCTAAAACTATAAAACTTCTATAAGAAAGTGTAGGAGAAAATCTTTGTGACCTTGAGTTAAGTAAATTTCTTAGATACAAAACCAAAATCACAGTACATTAAAAAACTGGACAAATTGAATTTCATCAGAATTAAGAACTTCTCTTCAAAAGACATGGTTAAGGGAATAAAAAGAGAAGGCATGCTTATGAGAAAAGTTTTGCAAATCACACATTTGACAAAGGACTTGTATCCAGAATATATTAAGCTCTCCTCAAAACTCGATAAGAGAAACAACCCAATTGAAGAATAGGCTCAAGATGTGAGCAGACATTTCATTAAAGAAGAAATGTAAGTGGTAAATAACCACGTGGAAAGATGCTCAACATCATTAGTTATTAGGGAAATGCAAACCACAAAGAGATACTACTGCATGTCTATTAGAATGACTAGAATTTGAAAGATTGACCATATGAAGTGTGGCAAAAATATAGAGAAACTGGAACTCTTACATACTGCTGGTGGGGGGGGGATGTAAAATTGTACAATCACTTTGGAAAACAGTTCGGCAATCTCCTAAAAAGTGAGATCTACCATATGACTCAGCCATTCCACTTACTGCAGTATTACCCAAGTAGTATTGACCCAAGAAAAATAAAAGCGTATATCCATACAAAGACTTGCACGTGAAAGTTTGAATGTTCATAGCAGCTTTATCCGTCATAGCCAAACACTGGAAACAACCTAAGTGTGCGTCAGCAGATGAACGGATAAGCCCAATGTGGTGCATCCACCCAATGAGATACTGCTCAGCAATAAAAACATGGAGGAATCTCAAAATAGTTACGAGAGAAAGAAATCACATAAAAAAAGGATATGTACGGTATGATCCCATTTATATAAAATCCTAGAAAATGCAAACTAATCTAGTGACAGAAAACAGATCAGTTGCTGCCTGGGGACAAGGGGGGAGGCCAGGAATTACAGAGGGGCATGAAGAACCTTTTGAGGGTGATGGATATGGTAAGTCCACTGTCTTAATTGTGGTGATGGTCTCCAGGTGAGTATATACATCAAAACTTATCAAATTGTATGCTTTTTTTTTTTTTTAAGAGAGAGAGCGTGTGCAAGTGGGGGGGCGTGGCAGAGGGAGAAAGAGAGAATCTCAAGCAGGCTCCCCGCTGATTGCAGAGCCCGACACAGGGCTTGATCTCATGACTTTGAGAACATGACTTGAGCTGAAATCAAGAGTCGGATGCTCAATTGACTGAGCCACGCAGGCACCCTTCTTTTAAAAATTTTTTTAAATTGTACATTTCAATGTATTCTATTTATTATATGCCAATTATACCTCTGCAAAGCTGTTAAAAACAAATGACAACAACAAAAACCCAGCCCCAAACATGCTTTGTTTTTTTATTTTTTGTTTTTATTTTAAAATTTTCACATTTTTTTGTTATTTTATTTTAAGTAGTCTTCACACTTAATGTGGGGCTTGAACTCATGACCCTGAGACTAAGAGTTGCATGCTCTACAGACTGAGCTAGCCAGGTGCCTCTGTGCTTAAGTTTTTATAAAGTAAGTTAACGTCAGGAGAAATAGCAAGGCAAGTGGCACAGAGACAGGGTGGGAACCGTGCATGTGGACCAGGGGTGTTAGGTGCTTGGAAACATGGGCAGAAGTAAGCAGTGAACCCTAGACGTGGCCTGCCTGAGCTCTGGTCCTGGGTCCGCCTCTTACCAGCTGGTCGCCGTGCACGGAGCTAGTTAAGAGGATAGACTTGCTGCCCGGTGCCTGGGTTAAAATCTCACCTCTGCTACGGTTCAGATGGGGGCCTGTGGGCAAGTCATTTAAACTCACTGTGCCTCAGTTTCTTCACCTGTAAAATGGGCAGTGACCCTACATCTCCCAGCATCCGGCATAGCTCCTGATATTTAATAGGTGCTCAGTGAACATTAGCTGTTATCAGCAGTTCTGAGTGAGTTGATGACAGGGTCAGGGGCAGATCTCGAGCACCCAATGCCCAGCCCTCCTGGACAAGCCAAGCCCAGCCCCAGGGAGGAAAGCATGGCTGTGAAGGTTGCTTCCAGGCCTCGATCTCAGGCGCTTGGCTCACCGGCCGAGACTGACATTATTGCTTCTGGAGAGCAGAGCCCACGGTGCCAACTGCCGCGTCCTGGGCCGCACAGGCCCCGCCTCACCCTGGCCTGGTCAGAGGCTGGGCTGAGCATCCCTGCAGCTGTGGGCGTCCTGGCCCTTGATGGAGCCAGGTGCTCGGCACCGCGCGAAGCTCAGTACACGCATTCTCCGCTTTAGCCCTCTCAGCACCCTGGAGCCGTGTGGGTCTTTGGCTTCATTTCCCCAGTGGGAGCACTAGCCTCCGAGAGGCTGGGCGGTCCGTGTGAGGTCACAGGTCTCTCTCTCCTCCCACCGGCCCTGAGCACCCTTTCCCTGGGGCCGTGGGGCGGGGCGGGGGGGGCGGTGCAGATGCTGAGAGTGGTAGCTTTCTGCCTCTCCCCTGCAGGGGTCTGGCCCTTGCTGCTTTCCTGGGCTTGGTCTTGTGGCTGGTTCTGGACACCTCCCAGCGACCTGAGCAGCTAGTGTCCTTTGCAGGAATCTGCGTGTTCATCAGCCTCCTCTTTGCCTGCTCAAAGCATCACTGCGCCGTGAGTGCTTCGTGGTCAGGTCCGGGCTGGGCCGCAGCCCCTTCTGTCCCTGCCTCCTCGGACCTTGCAGCCACCCCCTGAAGCCAGGACCCCTCCCCGTTTCACAGTGTGGCCAACGTCCCCCCACAGCCTCCAGCCAAGCCTCGCAGAGCTCCTCATGTACCCCTGAGTTTGGGGATCCCTGCTAAGAAATCATTAAATGCTGAGAGGTAGCAGCAACCCTCCGCTGGGGGTGTGGGCGTCGAGGGAGTGGGGTGAGGGCAGCTGGGAGCCCTGCCTGTGGAGGAGGGATGGGGGGAGGTCCGGGCAGACACCCCAACTCCAGCTCTGCCCACCCAGTGATGACCAGGACCGAGTACCGTGGCAGGCTGGAGGCTGCTCATGACTTGCATGGGTCCCTAGACCTTTCCCCACCCCTGCCCACTTCCCCAGGCCCGTGGCTGCTAAGAGTGTGACCTGTTCTGACTCCAGTGGAGGTGACCATTGGCAACAGGCCCAGAGTTCTGGCTGGGTCCAGTCTCTGTCCTACAGACAGACTCAGACTCCCACAGCCTGTCAGCAGCACCGTGCTCTCTGGCCTTACCCTATTTTTAGAGATGAGCTGCCGAAGAGAGCACTCTGGCCTTACCCTATGCTGTTCCTCTGCAGATCCTCCCAAGGAGCTGAGCTCACCAGGACCTTTCTTTTGAGTGGCAGGTGTCCTGGAGGGCTGTGTCCTGGGGCCTCGGCCTACAGTTTGCACTTGGACTCTTCGTCATCAGAACAGAACCGGGATTTATCGCATTCCAGTGGATGGGCAACCAGATCCAGGTGTGTACGTGGGGCCCAGAGGCCCACGGAGCTGCCGGGAAATGGAGGAGAAGCCACTCTGTCAGGGGAAGGTGGGTGGTGAGGCCATAGGGAGGGATTGGGACCAGGACGGTGGGTGTGCCCTGGGTCCCAGACCACGTGAGCAGCTGGGGCTGGGCAGTTTGGCTGCTGCTTCCCTCAGGCCTGGGGCCACCTGCCCAGACAAAGCCGTCCATTCAGAGGCTGGTCTGATGTGGGAGGGAATCTCAAGACAGGGAGTTTCTTAGGGAACCCGGGCAGGTGGTCTTCAGCAGTCACAAGGGATGTGGACCTTATAATAGTTAAAAGTGCTAAAAAAAAAAAAAAATTCCAAATGATTTACTTTGTGTACGTGTGTGCATACAAATAATGTTGTTTACTGAAGTCCTATTTTTATTTTTTTTATTTTTTTTATTTCTTTTTTTTTTAAAGATTTTATTTATTTGAGAGAGAGAGAATGAGAGATAGAGAGCACGAGAGGGAAGAGGGTCAGAGGGAGAAGCAGACTCCCTGCCGAGCAGGGAGCCCGATGCAGGACTCGATCCCAGGACTCCAGGATCATGACCTGAGCCGAAGGCAGTCGCTTAACCGACTGAGCCACCCAGGCGCCCTGAAGTCCTATTTTTAAATTCCATTGTGTATTGTAGTAAATACACATACCACAAAATTTACCATTTTCACCATCTTTAAGGGTCATGAAGCTCGTTCACATTGTTGTGCAACCATCATGAGTTACTTTTTAAAGTATATTATCGGGGGCGCATGGCTAATCCTCTCCGCACCCCGGTCTTGCCAGCTCGGATTTCCACGGGCTGGTCTCCCCTGTCATTTTATAGATGGGACTACTGAGGTCTGGACGAGAGAAGTGACTTGTCCCCGAAGTCA